CCCCAGGTCACCGAATGGAGGATGAAAACCTACAACATGTCCAGCACAGTGATGGTGACCCTGCAGAAGGATGATGTCCGCTCGCAGCTCACCTGTGAGGTGCAGCACTCCACGGTGCCGGAGCCGCTGCGAGGGAGGTTCCAGCTCAGCAGTGTCCTGCGAGGTGAGGGCTGGGGGACTCGCACTGGGGTGTCCTGCTCCCGTGGGGCTGGGGTCCCTGGGAGGAGGACAGGGGCCCCTGGGGCTGGGACGGGGCTCCCTGTGGGCAGCAGAGCCGGGGACACCAAACACCAAGCTCTGTCTCTCTTCCCAGTTCCCCCCAGCGTGGAAGTGCGCACTGAGCCGAGCTCCGTTGAGGTGAACAACACCGTGGTCTTCACCTGCCTCGTGAAGGAGTTTTACCCAGCAAAGGTGTCCGTTTCCTGGCTGGAGAATGGGATGGAGATAAAGGCAGAGAACGTCTCCCGGCCATCTGAGCTCCCCCAGGGCTTGTTTGAGCTGAGAAGCCAGGTGGAGGTGCAAGCCATGGAGGAGAAAAACGGGTCCACGATCACCTGCATGGTGGTGCACGATGCCCAGGCCCCTGCCAACTACTCAGCCGTCCTGTGGATCTCCAACACGGCCCAGGGACTGAGCAAGGAGTCTCAGATGATTAAGGGTGCGTCAGAGCTGCTGGGATGGGGTGCCTGCTAGGGCAGCTGTGTGGTGGTGTCATCCTCTGAGGAAGGTCAAAGCTCCATCAAAATGTGGTTGAAGGACCAAATCTCCATATCAGGGGGCTGGGGAATGTGGTGGTGGCAGGCACCGAGCTGTCCTCCTTGGTGCTTCATGCATCACTAGGCCAATCCCAGTTGTGAGGCTGCAGGGACTGGGAGGTACCAGGTTTTGGGCCATGGTGACCTTTTCATTGATGTTTCAGATGATATGCTCATCTACATCGTGGTGGGTGTGGTCTGCACGGTGCTGGTCCTGCTGGTGGCAGCGATTCTGTACCTCATCCGGGTGAAGCAGATCAAGGGTAAGGGAGCTGACTGTGTGGCAGGGAGGCAGCTGTTCCCAACCCCGTTTTTCCTCTTTTTCCCCATGGGTTTCACATTGCCCCGTTGGACAGTAACTCCTGGCAGTGCAGCTAGAGGTCCTACCCAGTGGGGTGATGGATAGAGCTGCCAGGTTGTTTACAGGCTGCAGGGAAAGCTCTGGCTGGTCTAAACCCTGCCCTGCACCTCCTGTGCTCCCCCAGGAACAGTCCGGAATGAAATTGATTGAAACTTCAGGGAATTGCAGCCATTTGCCTCTGGGAAAAGATGTGTACTTGTCCTTGAAGCAGTCTCTGCATGTGTTCTCTGTGCCCAGGGAAAGGGGGTGTTTATCTTGTTTCCTGAATTATTTCTTTCCTGAACTTCTTCTCTTTTGGCAGGTAAAAGCTCGCCATCTGCCAGGTGAGTGCAGATCTCTTCTAGTCACTGGGTAACCTGTGGTAACTCTGAGCTGGACACCTCCAGCCCATAGAGTCCCTCAGGACTGGAACAGAGCTGTATCCCCAAAACCTGTGGAAGGGACAGCAGGAACACAGTCTGTGCCCATCTCCCCAGCTGGGGTTCTGTGCCCATGGGGTTTTTTTACTCGTGGTGGGGCTGAGCAGGCTGGTGGGAGCTGATCGCTGGCCAGCAGTGAGGCAGCTGGACCAGCACAAGCCAATGCTCAGGACCTGTCTTGCTGGGTGCAGCTGCAAGGACCTTGGCTTGCATTTGACCTCCCCAGCTGCGTCATCACCAGGGAAAGGGCAACAGGATGCTCCATGCATCTGACTGATTTTGTCCCTCCTTCCAGGTTACATGAGCCAGAGAAGAGCAGTGAGGCCACGACCCAGGTGGGTCATCTTGGGACTGGGGAGGGAGAGTGGCTGGGAGCCACTGGAGATAGGAGTGGAGGTGGTGGTTCCCCAGTGAAACATCTCAGTGTCTCCAGTGGAGGGTAGTGGTTCTCCAGTGAAACATCTCAGTGTCTCCAGTGGAGGGTGGTGGTTCTCCAGTGAAACATCTCAGTGTCTCCAGTGGAGGGTAGTGGTTCTCCAGTGAAACATCTCAGTGTCTCCACTCTGTGGCTGGAGGTGGAAGAGAGGCTGCCCCAGTAAAAGAGTAGCCACTTCTCAGAATCTTTTCTGCTTTCACCGTCCTTCCTCCTTCCTCCTCCTCCTCCTCCTTCTCCTCCCAGTAAAGTCTGGGGTGGTGCTGCCTGGAGAACCAGCTGTGCGATAGCCAGCCAGGCTATTTGTGGAGTTATTTTGCATTTGGTGACGCAGCTATGAGCAAAGTCGTGATCAGCAGCAATCTGTCCATCCCACCCAGGCTCTGCCAGCTCCCGCGTGGGCATCGCTGGGCAGTCTGGCCCTGCTGGGATGGAGTGGCTTCAGTGATAGCTCTGGAATGGTGGCAGTGGTTTTGAAGCCAGGACAGGGTGACAGGGTGGCTGACGATTGGAAGCTGGAATGGGGTGTAGAGCATGGCTGCAGGGTGGTGGCTGCTGGCATTGTTCCCCCACACAAGCAGGGAACAACAGTCCCCTGGGCTGAGCTGCAGTGGGATTGACTCCAGAACAGGGCTGTGGGTACAGGGGCATCTTCCCAGAGGAGGAACTCTTGGTGCCTCTCACAGGAATCCGACCCCAACAACCTGACCTACGCGGACCTGAACTTCGACAAGGAGAGGAAGACGATCCGGCGGATGGTGGAGATGAGCCAGCAGTCGGAGTACGCCTGCATCCAGACCAACCAAGCGCCCAACGGCGACGACAACCTCACCTACGCCGACCTGGACATGGTGCACCTCAGCAAGGCGCCCAAGCGACCGGCCCCGCGCCCCGAGGAGGCCGGCTCCGAGTATGCCAGCGTCCAGATCACCAGGAAGTGAGCAGTGGCTGTTGGGACCCCCTGTCCTGCGGGGAGCAGCTCTGCTCCTCTCCAAGACTGTTCTCTTGGAAGCACTGGGAGCGATGTGAAGATGCACTGCGGTACCTGTGTTTTAGGATGGAAATGGAGCCCACCATACCTGTGGGGGGTCTTCTCCCATCCAGAGAGACAGGATTTTTGGGGGCAGTTTGGTCCTGGGGCTCCCAGCTCCATACCTTCAGGACCCCCGTGAGGGCTTGTTCAGCCTCAGTGTGCCGGGTTTGCCCACAAGCAGATTCAGCCAGCGGAGCAGCAGCTCCTTGGGAAGCTCCAGCTGGGCTGAGGGGACAGGTACAGTGCCTCCACACCAGCTCTCATGGGGATGCCACTGCCTGGCCCACGGCTCCCCAGGACCAGCAGGGCCCCCACACTGCCTTCTGGGGCTCTGCCACCACGCCTGGACACCAAACTCTGGCTTTAAAGGAAGGACCAAAGTGTCCGCCTCTCTTCCCAAGTGTCCCTTCTGCGGGACCTCCGTCTCGCCCCAAGGCCAAGAGGCTGGAAGGCCGCTGAGCCGAGGACCCCACCCTGCTGTCCAGGGGAGCTCCAGGTCTGGCTCTCCAGCACCAAGCATCCTCTTCATCATCATCATCATCATCTTCCTGTGCACAGCCTTGCCCCGCACTGGGACCCACCAGCGCTGCCCCAGGCTTGTACAAAGCGTGTGAGGGCCCCCCCAGCCTGGCTCCCCCCGGGAGCTCCCCGCAGGTACCGTGTAACATGTTTTGACTGTTTGACATGTAACTGTTAATTTTTAGAGCTGAAACCCCCAATGTTTTGTGTTGTACGTGGGTGTACTGCTGTGTACTTAACACTAGAATAAGATGTGCAAAATTAAGACCGAGGCCTCAGTAAAGAATCCCCCAAGCCCTACAGAGTTTATAAGAGACTTATATGCTCCCCACCCCATACCCCAGCTCTGTCTTGGGGGCCAGGCAGGCTCCCCCAACCCACCCATGGGGACAAATGTCTTCCATGTGCCCCCTATCTGGGCCACCATGTGGAGCCTTGCCCTCTGTTGGCTCCTGCAGCAGTGGAAATGTGGGGGGCGTGGGGGCACTGGGGTCCTTGGGGGTGCTTTGGGAGCAATGTGACTGCTTGTACAGACTATTTCTTGGGGTTTTTTTGGTTGTTTTTTTTTTTTCTTTTTGCTTGCAAGATATTTTTATAATAAAAGTGAAAAGTCCTGTGCTGCTCCCGCACATCAACGTGTCCCTGTGCTCAGGGGGGTCACCTTGTCACTGGGGCTGCAGGGTGGGGTTGGGGTTCTGTGTGTCCTGCAGGGAGGAGGAGAGGAGGGTTCATCCTGCACAGCCCTGTAGTGTGTGCTGGAGGGAGGAAAGAGGGAGGGAGGTCGAGGCTGGGATGAAGGCTTTGGTGCTGGTTCCTCTGGGCACCATAACGGGGAGGAGCAGTGCACCCCATGGGCAAGGACTGACTAGGGGCTGGCCCTGCTGCATCTTTAGCTGAGCTGGAGCTGGGGTGCCCAGACTGGTGTGCAGGCAGCCTGGGTGCTGGCTCCAGCCCATGCTGTGAGTGAGCTGAGTGTTCCAGGGACCTCCCTGCTTTCCCAGCCTGGAGCTGGTGCCTGGGCTGTGTCTGGGACATGAACTGTGTCTCACCAGAGCCAGGAACTGCTATGTGAGGCTACACAGACACTCAAAAGTGAAGCTGCTGCCCAGGCTGGGCTTCCTCAGCACTGAGCTGCTGCTGGTGGTGTCACACATGAGTAGAAAAAGGACAGTTTGCCCTCAGCACAACTGTCCCTTCCCTACTGGGGCAGCAGCTGAGATTCCCAAGGAAGTCTCCCCTCCCTGCTGCTGCAGGACGTACTTTCCAGCATCCTACATGCCCCTGCAGCAGGCTGAGCATTCCTGCTTAGCTGTGATGGCCTTGTCACACTCAGGACATGGCTCCAGAGGTGTGTAGGGTCCCACATTCCTTTTGGCACCCTTAGCATGGGAAGGATACCACCGTGTGCTGCCTGCAGGTCTCACAGCCAGCACCCTGGCCCATTCGGGCACTCCCAGAGGAGGCTCAGACCCAGCATGGCTTCAGCTTCGTTGGCATCTGCCTTTTATTGACTGCAGGGGGGAGTTGGGTGTTGGGGCAAGGGGCTGACCCTTCCTCTAGAGTCGTTCTTGGAGGGGGAACCCAGGGGCACCAGGTGGGTGCTGGGATTAGTGGGACACTGTGAGAGGCTCAGGGAGGGGAGTGGGGGCTGGGCTCAGCACCGCTTGAGCACCTGGTGATGGTGCTGTGGTTCCACCAGCCACCTCTGCCCATGGCCACGGATGGCAGCCACCTCCCTGATCCTGCCCTGGCTCATCCTTCCCAGAGCTCGGAGCCCACTGCCCTGTAACTCAGCTGTGATGGTTTCCAGACCCTGCTGTGCTCCGGCAGCCGCGGGAGGACAGAGGATACGTGCCCCCAGCAATGTGCCCCGGGAACCCTGGGCTGGGCCACAGCCACACCGCCAGCACCTGGAGGAGTGGCACTGTCCCTTCGGTGCACAGGATGGGCAGGTGAACCAGTGAGGGATAACTGGGGATGGAACTCATGGTCCCCTGGGGGAATGAGGCAAGGGTGACACCAGCCATAGCAGGCTGGGCAGGGGACAGGGCTGGGGGCGATGGCACAGTCGGGGTGGCAGTGTGGGGACCGTGGTGCTGCCGTCCCACGCCTGGCTCTATAGGTCTGAGACCTCCCCTGAGTAGGCGCTGGGATCCTCGTCCGACCGTGTGATCACCTTGAACTGCCTCCGCAGGAAGCCCCCGTAGCGCTTCTGATTGTCCCACTTGAGCTTGGGCCGGATGCGGCGCATGAAGCCCCCGTAGCGCTTGTGCAGCTGCTCCTGCCCCTCAGCCCCAGCACCCGTGGGCTCTTCGTCCCCGTCCCCTGCTGGCCCCAGGTAGTCCTCGGGGGCCGCTCGCTCCCCTGGCTTGCGGATGAAGCCCCCGAACTTCTTGCTGAGGCCGCCCTTGCTGTGAGCGTTCTCACGGAGCAGGGACAGCAGCTTCCCCTTGGACATCATCTTCATGAAGCCTCCGTAGCGCTTGGCCGGTGCCAGCGGCAGCTCTGCAGGGCCCAGACCCTGCTCCGGCTCTGCCTCATCCTCCTCTGCCTCCTGCGGGGATGGCTCTGTCCCTTCAGCCAGGGCCACCAGCGGGGCCAGGAGCGCCAGCGCCTTCCTGCACATCTCCCACTCGGGGCCGGGTGACAAGGAGCCCTGGCATTCCCACAGGCACATCTGCAAGACAGTGGCCGCAGTGGCCCCAGGTGCTCGAGGTAAGCCCCTGCCTTCCTCCCACCCCACCCCAGGTGTGTCCCCACGCCAAGCCCCTAGGTCTGTGCCCACCTCAGATGCTCATCTCAGTGAGAAGCTGAAGTTTGCACAACTCCAGCACCCTGGGGTGCCCATGACCACCAGGTGCCACCCAGCTCTCCCACCCTGCCCCCGTGACACTCCACTGCTGTGGCTCCCTGGCTCACGTCCGTGTGGAGCCAGCACTCACCAGGGACTGGACGCTGCTCTCGGCACTGCGGGTCTGGGCTGCGCAGAGGGAGCACTGGGTGACACAGTTGGCAGATGCCACCGCAGACAGGGACAGGCAGAGTGCCAGTGCCAGTGCCCGCCTTGCCATCTCGCCCTGCAGACACTGCCTGGAGAGGGGAAGACAGTACAGAGCCTGTCACCATCCCTGTGCCAGCTCTGGGGCCCCACCACCTCTCCACAGGCACTGAGCACCTACCACCTCCATCTGGGAGCTGCTCCCGGGAACATACACAGGGACCTGGGCCGTGCCCATTCCCATATGACTCACCTCCAGATTCCGCTCCCAGAAAGGGCATGACAAGATGTGACCCTTTACCCTGGCTGCAGCCTGGTCCTTGCCACAAGGCCAGAGCCATAGCCAGTCCCTGGTGGCCACCAAGTCACTGTGGGCATGACCACTGTTGGGTCTCATCATTTCATCTCATCTCAGTTCCATCCCATCTATCCTGTCCATCTCTCTTACCGTACCATCAGAAAGTAAAGTCCCTTTTTTCCCCAGCACTGGGTTTCTCTGTGGTTGCCACGTCTGCATGGTGCAGGCGGATGAATCACCAGCTCTTCCCCTTGGCCTTGGGGAAAAGAACCACAGCAAATGGAGGCTGCTGTGGCAAGTGGCAGGCTGCTGTACCCCACACCAGTGCAGCCTCATCTCCCCTCCCACCCCCCAGGTCTGCTGGGTTAGTGCATCAGGAGAAAGGGGGAAAAAGAAGGACTTTGGTTCAAGCTTACCTGTAGACCACAATCACCATCCTCCAGACATTTGAGAGCTGTGATGGAGCCTCTGGCCTCTGCAGAGGAGGACACTGTGCTCAGCTGGGAGAGGGGCTCTGCAGGTGGCAGTGCTATACCTGACCCCAGGTGAGGCTGCTGGGGCCACTGCCTGCAGTGCCTCAGGATCACAGTGCCACCAGTACCTTGACAGCCCCAGAGCAAAAGCAAGCCCCAAAGGGGTGCACTGGCTGCAAGCCCCTGCCTGCCTCCATTGCTGCTTTTATCTAGGGTGGGTAAGGCATGACCCAGAGGGATCTGTTACACATTAATGACGCATATTAGAGACTATTGTGTTCTCCAGCAGTAGCTGCTAATGTACTGTAATTGGTACTGATGAAGAAATGTTAATGCCACAGTATTAATTCATGCTAGATTAAAATTTAATTTGAATTATCTGCACCATCGTGTGTCGAGCTGTCTGCATTCCTTGGCTGCACGGCCACCAGCTCCGTGAATCCTCCCAGTGCCCTGGCAGCACGGCAGGGAACAGGGTGGCAGCTGCCCAGAATGGCAGGGGCACAGTGGGACCTCAGCCAGCGCTCGCCACTGAGACCCGGGGACGGTCCCTTATTGCGTCAGGGCCACCGAGACAGCACCGAGGAGCGAGGACACACCAGCTGCACAGGTAGGTGCCAGCTGCAGCACTAGGGGGAATGAAGCTCCCAAAAAGAGATGATGACTGCTTCCCAGGAGCCCCACGGGGAACCTTTTCCCTTCCTCTCCCCACTCGTTTCTCCTCCCTTGCTCCTCTGCTGCCGGTAGCCCCGTGGGTGCCGCCAGAGCAGCGCGCAGGGACGGCACCAGGGATGTTCCCGTGCTGGGAAGAAGCTGCTGGTTTGTCTGACACTGCACAGTTCATACCTCTGGCATTCTGGACACTGTGTGTCCCATCCCTGTCACCCTACTGCAGACAGAGGATTTCATGGCACTCAGGGGAGCTGCAGTTCTCTGAGCACAGCGTGGCCAAAGAGACCCTGGCACACCCCACTGCAAACGTACCATGTCCAGGTGGTGCTACAAATGTCCTGGCAGTCCTCTGCCTGCCCCTGAAGCTGGGATAAGGAGGACTGGCAAAAGAGGAAAAGGAGAAGAAAACAAAGAGCTTTGGACAAAAGAGGAAAGAAGCAGCAGGGAGGGAAAAAGTGAAAAGAACACAAAGGGAGAAAGAAGAAAAGCAGAGTTCGAGCTCAATCCAGTGTTACCTGGAGGAGCCCAAGGCTCCGGTGCCATCCCTCCTGCAGGAACACCTTGGAAGGATCGTGGCAGGGTCTGGCAATGCCAGCACTGAGTCCCAGCCTCTGTGGCCACTCTCAGCACATTCTGCCTGTGCCAGGTGCCTGCCAGTGTCCCTTCCTCTCCTGTCCCATTTCCACCTGAGTCTTCAAAGACCAGACTTTGTGTTGGAAAACCCCCAAGCTGCATCCATGCTCCCCAGGGGCCAATTTACAGACCTGGTGACCCAAGGAGGGATAAGGATCAGGATTGTGTGTGCCGGACAACAGAGACTGACCCCATCTTGACTAACCTGTGATTATACCTAATGAAGGATGTGAACAGCTCTCCCAGACTGAGCGGATCCCTCCTCCCACACAGGTCCAACTCCACAGGTTTGGATCCTGCACATATTTCTGGTGGAGAAGAACAGTCAACCTTCCAGCAGCTCCTTTTCTCACCTCTAAAAATTTCCTGGAAACACCGTCAGGACAAGGCTTCTCAAAAAAGCTGGTAACTTTTGGAATAGAATCACTCGAAACTCAGCAGCCACACTGCTGTTTGAGCCAAGAAGGGGGAGAGATAACCCCCCATCCTCTCTGCCTGCTCCCTTTGCCCCTCCAAGCCCTGGGTGATCCTGCTGCCAGGATGGCAGGCACGGCATCAGCACGGAAATGAACCCCAGCAGAGCTCTGGTTCGTGGGCTCTGAAACCACTCAAGGGACGGGAGGGACCTGCAGCCATGTGGAAGCTCCCCAAAATAACACAAGTCCAACCACAAGCCACTCTCAGGGGGTGCTCTTAAACAGTCGCTTTTTGGGGAGCAAGAGCGATCCCCTGATCGTGCCCACGTAATGGAAGGGGAATGACAACCCCGGCAGCCCTACCTGCCGCTGCTCCCCGTCCCGCCGAGCACCCGCTTCGCCAAGTCAGGACGGGTCGTGGCTGATGGGTGTCCCTCCACGGGCGTCAGGCTGAGCCAGTCATCGGCGGCAAGGCCACAATGGCAGGTGGCCCCACGGTGCTGCCCGGGTTGCCCACCGGACTCGCCGCCGGCTGCCTCTCACCCCGCTTTTATGGCCACGGAGTCTCCTCCTGCGGCGGGGCCCGGCTGTGCGCGGCGGCAGAGCCAATCGGGGCGAGGGAAGCTGTGAATAATCAGCCCCGCAGCATCCCCGCCACCTCCCGAGCAGGCTCGCCCGCACCGCCGAGGCCTCCCCGCAGCCCCCGGCCGCCCCGGGAACCGAGGTGCACATCCCAGCACTGCGGCTGCATCGCTCGGAGACTTCCATGGTGCCCAGCCTCGGTCCTCGGGGCCGAAACGCGTGCCCCAGACAAGGCAGAGGACTGGGATGGGGTCTGTCCGTCTTCCCACACAGCTGCGTCCCAGAGGGGTTTGACTGCTGGGGGCTGTGAATCCCCTGGACATCAAATTTAAATCCTGTCAAAGACGGATAGAGGGGGAAAGATGAAGCCCTGATCTCCTCTCACCCTGCTCCCCAGCCTGGGGAGAGGCACCGTCCTCGTGGCGATGCTGGGGAGAGAAGTGAGCCCATCCAAAGCTGCTGGGAAGGGAGAGGATGTTCATGCCCCAGGAAAGGAATGTCCCAACCCACACAGGCAAGCTGCTGTCAGGTGAAAAAGCCTTTGCACAGAAATCCCCCAACCTCTGCAATGCCAGGGCTCAGAGGCACAGGGCTCCCCCCCAGCTCCACATCTCCCCGAGCCCCCTCCTCATGAGGGCAAACACAGAGATGAGCCAAAGGGGCAGGGGGAGCTGGGTGGGAGGGAAAAGACACCCCCACTTTCCCCACTCAGCCCTGATTCCTGTTCTCACACATTTCCAAGCCTGATCTGGGGACAAAGGAGAGCAGCACTGGGGCAATGACAGGCAACCCCTGAACCCCTGCACCGCTGTCCCACAGCACCATGTCACAAGAGATGTGTGGGACGGGGTCCGAGGTGCAGACCCCACAGGACATCCTGTGTCAGTCCCCACACCCGGTGGGTGCAGACACATCCCCTGCGTCGCTGGCAGTGCAGCCAGCCCTCTTGCCTTGAAGATGGAGCTATTTTTATCGGAGCTCAAGAGGGATGTTTCCCAGCAACCTGCTGTTCTCCCAGCTCGAACACCAGCTGCTGGACCTGGTGCCCCCTTGCTCAGCCCTCCCAGCACTGGTGAGGGAAGTGGGGGGCCATGGACATGGCTGGGACCTTCTGCTGGGCACCCAGCAGTCATGGCTGTTGTACCTGTGGTCCTCCATCAGGGAGGGTGATCAGGTCCTTCGGCATCCTCCTGCACCCTGAAAAGCAGGCAGGACCCCACTGCTTTTGTTTGGAGGTGGATTTTAACTCATCCAGGCCAGGGCTGTGCCAACACAGGGGGACTAAGGGAGAGGGCATGGGGTGGGGAGTGAGAGCCCTGTATCCTCCTCAAGGCCAATGGAGGAACCCATCCCTCCACCTCTGGTGCTGCAGCAAGGGGGGATGGAGCTCAGGCCCCGCAGGGGCAGAGGGCAGCCACAGCCCCACCTCGCTGTACCGGGATGTGCTGGGCTGTGCAGGCACAGAACAAAGCTGAGAAGAACAAAATGCATCTGCAAAAGACCACAACACCCTGGGTGAGGGGCTGTGGGCAGCCCTCAGGCAGTTTAATCCTTTCTGCTGGGATTGATGGCCGTGCACCACAGACACGGTGGGGTGGAGCATTTCTACACCAAAGCCATTATTTTTATATGAATATGTATATATGTATATATGCACCCAGCGGCCTGGGGTGCAGTCACTTCCCCGCACAGGGTAATTGCACACGAGGGAAATGTGTTAGAGATTGAGCAAATCCCAAGGACGCAGAGGGAAACGTGGTTTGGAATAAGGTTCTTCCCTTTGGGTGGGAGGTTGAGCTGCTCCTGTCCCCAGAGCAAAGTGCCACAAATCTACTGACCTGGGTAAGAGGGCCCTCCATGGGTCCAGGGCGTGGAGGGTGACAGGGTCCCCCGGGAGAGGAGCTGGGAGCCAGCCCACCCACCACCAACTCAACTTAATATTCATCTGTCTTTTCCTAATGGGAAAGTGTCTCTGAGTCACACTGACATTTCCCTGGGACAATGGTAATTAAGTATCTGGATAAGTGAAATGAGCGGTAATAGAAAAGTTAACTTTTCCTAACTACATGAGTGAAAGGCGCGTTCGGTGAGGAGGGGGCCGAGCGTGCCAGGCACCCGCGGAAAGCAGGTGGGAGTTTCTGTCTGTCTGTCACACGGCGCTGCCACCCTGCCCCTGAGCCCCCAGGTCCCCACCGAAGGACCCTCCCCCAGACAGAACAGGGCTCCCCATCCCGGGATGGGGTAAATCGCCCTTGCAGCTCCTCCAGCGGCCGGACTGTCCCCAAGCAGAGGGACCGCGACCCAGAGCTGCCGGCGGGAGCTTTGCTAGCAAGGCAGCCGCTGGGCTGTGGATCCTCCAGCACGGTCAGCTTTACCCCATTCCGGGACACGGCTTTTCCAGAAACTCCCAAAACGTTTGCACTCCTGCCTGGCCATGCCGGAGGCAGGAGAGGGAGGTGTTCAGACGCATTTTGTGGGACGTGGGGAGAAACGCCGGGTGGGCGATGCCCGGGGTTCTGCTGCTCCCGCGGGGGCTCCGATCGAGCGCGGCCGCACCGGAGCGAACCTCGGGCAACGGGAGCACCGGAGCAGGGGGCGGGCAGCGCTGCCCAGGCGGGCACACGGTGACCTCCCTGCGTGGGCAGGAGGCACAAGTGCCACTCGACGGCGATACGAGAAGCGGCGCTCTCGTAAACACGGCGAGTCACGCCGCTGCCACCGTCCCTGTCGCGCCAGGCTGCCGAGCGGCACCGGGGGCACGGGGCTGCGGCACTACCCCCGCAGCCTCCCCGGGAGGCCAAGTGGCTCTATTTAAAAACAAATTGAGGTCAAACCACTTGTAGGAGCTGCAGCCGGCGCCGTGGCACCGCGGGGCAACCCCGCATTAGAGTCGCCGGTGGCTCGGGGGATCGCCGTCCCGTCCCCGGGGGGACCAGCTTGACGCAGTGGGCTGGGGTACGTGATGGCACCGACACATGGCTCAGCAGTGGGTCAAGAAATCAGGGAATTTTGAGAGCTCTTCCGTAAACCGGCTCTGCAGACGCTGTCTTTGACCGGCCGCAGTGCCCGCTGCCAACGGCACCGCGCGGGGGGCAGGAAAACGCGGGAGAGGCGGCTGGAAAAGAACATTTCGCGGGGTTGGATCGCCATTCCCTCCCCAAATCCACGGGGAGCGAGGCGGCGGCGTGCAAAGCCCCGAGCCCCGGCGGGCTGCCAGCCACCAGCAGCGCCAGGAACAGAATGAGACCCCCGGGCAAGCAGGAGCGGACTCGTGATGCCCACGGCTCGGGGGGTGAAAAACAATTTGGGGAGGGGACAGGGACCTCTGTGGTCCACCCCACCTGCTCGCAGGAGAAATGCCACCAAAGCAGCCCCACAAGACAGCTCCGCGGGGACACGGCCATCCCGGGGGGACACACTGCGGTCCCACCGTCTCCCCCCGGCCCTCGCCACCCCTCGGGGTCCCGCCGTAGGGCGGTCGCTCTTGGTGACCAGTGCCCGTCCCGCCACACGGACTCCCGGTGGGTGCCCCCAAAANCCCTCCCCCGCCCAGGGCCTCCAGGGTCCCTGTTCCTGATACCCGTGTCACCCATCCTTACCCCTGAGCACCTGGATCTGCCACCTTCCTGCTGCCATCGATGGCCCCCACACCCAGATCCTCCTGCCCCACTCCCGGGTTACATCCGCGGAGCAGGTTGACTGCTGGGATGCCCCGTGCAGGACATCTTGGTTATGTCTCCCTTCTCCATGGCACCCTTCCACAATACCTGCACCTCAGGCACTGTCGCTGCCCTTGCTTGCTCCCCATCACCCTATTGCTCAAATCCTTCCTGGGCATTAAGACCACCCTGCACTTAACACCACTCCAAAACTCCCCCCAGCTCTCACAGTGCCCTTCTTCTCGCCTTGGCTCACTGCTTTTCATATTAACCACCTCTGGGCTCTCCTCACTGTGCCCCTGAGCACCAATCACCCCTGCACTCTTTGGGTCCTCCCTGGGATATCTGCTCTAGGCTTCCTCTCATCACCCATCCCTGCAGGGCTCCCCCACAGGGTTCCTTTGCTGCCAGTTGCTCTGAACACACCTGAGGGGCCCATGTTCCTGTCCCCCATTGTTGTGCCATCCTCTCCACTCTTGTTCCTGTATGAAGCTCCCAGGAAACCATTCCCTAAACCCCACCAGTGTCTTGCAGCCAGTGGGGTCCCACCACATGCACTGTAGTCCTGAGGGGCCCTGTTGTCACGTCCAGGCTCAAACCCAGCCCTTGGGGAAGACATCCCTGTGTGCTGGACCCCTGACTTGCACCGACTCATCCTCCCTTACACCTTAAATCCTGAGGTTCTATTTGCTGCCCTGACCTGTGCCACAGTCCATACGCACATCCCACAGGGACCTTCACAGCCTGTGCCCCAGTCACACCAAGGGGACATCTCTCCCTCTCTGCCCAATGTACTGTCCCATCTCTGATCACCCCAGGGCTGCAGCCTATTATGGCTCAAGATCTCACAGCTTTAGGACTGTTCCCATGGCCACCCCATTGCTGGCTCTATGGGAACAGCCCTGGAAGCTCTAATGGCTATAGCCTGGGCTGATACACTCATTTTCCCCTGGGGTCCCTCAGCAGCATCATGGGGCTGTCAGGGGTCACCTCCTGTCACAGCCAATGGTTGTGATGGTAACATCTCCAAAATGCTCCCTCCCTCCCTTTGCTCTCTTAGCTGCTTGTCAGACCCACCTTTGCCAATGTGCTGTGAAGATGTGGAAAAATACTGGAGCCCTGATGCCCCTGTGTCCCCCAGCCTGCTGTGAGCAGAGCCAATCACCCCAATCCTTCCTTCCCCAAACTTGTGTGCCGGGATTCCTGTCAGCTCCTTGGGGTGCCCAGTCTCCCTGAGCCCCCAGACCCTGTGCTAGGCACAGAGTTCATGCAAAGCTCCTGAAATCTTTGGGCAAACCTGTGACTCTGACTGTCCCTGCCTTGCCTGTCCCCTCTATCTGTGGTGGGTGGACATGTCCAGACCTGCCTAGGGAGACCTGCATCCCAGCTCCTGCTCTTCCTTCACACAACCACCCAAGGGAGGCTCCCTGAGAAGTGTCCAAATTCCTGTACAGCCAGGGCACGCAGTTCCCTGGGAGCAGAGCCAACTCTTCCCTTTGGGTGTGTGTCCAGTTGTAGCAGGAATGGGGCTGCCCCCCCTCTGTGATGTTGCACATTCTGAGGAGAAGTGGCTTGGCTTTGGGAAAGGTCTTGGGTAGCTGGAGGTGCTCCATCTCCGGGTGGGGAAGGAGACACTTAGATGCCCCGTCTCTAGGTGGGGGCTGAGCCTCCTGAATTCACAGCAGTGGGGAAGGCTTTGCCTGCTCTGGTCCTGCTGCAGCCCCTCAAGGGGAGCGGAGCTAGGTTGTGCATCCCCAGTCTGGACAGGAGTAGCTCCTAAAACCAAGCTGGAGCACATTCTCCTTTCTGTCTGCCAGGCTGCCCTCGGGGCTGTGTTGTGCCAGGCAGCCTGTGCTTGCTGCCTTCCCAAGCCTTGGGTCTGATAGATGTAAATAAATATTTTCAAAACAAAAGCTGGAGCTGGATGAGCCCTGCAGGTCTCCTGCCCTCCTTCCCTGCCGGCAGCAGAGCTGGAGCTGTGGCGGTGGCCGTGGAGCTGTGCTGCCGTGCCATTCTGCACGACCGCAGCTGGGCTATTTACGGGCCAGCGCAGATGCTGTGCCAACGTGCTGGGGCTCAGGGCATGGCGAGGATTAATCCGAGACTTTCTGAATTGGGAGCACAACTGCCGGGATACCAGGCGGGGTTTGGTCTCAGCTATGCACAGAGCCTGAACCTTTATCATTTTAACGAGATGTGAAGTAATTAAATTTAAGGGCAGGATGTGAAAAGGAAGGTGAAAGCTTGGTGCTGAGCTGGAGGAGAGGCATGTACCCGAGCAATGTGCTCAGAGCCCTGACACAGGAGCACCTCCAGTGCTTGTGCACATCACATGCCCCTCTAGTTCCTAACTAGAGCAGTGACAGAGCTGCCTGAAGTGAACAGGTATAAGGTGTTGCTTCCTGTTCCTCCCATATCATCTGTGGGTCCATCACCCTGCCACCAGCACTCAGCCTCACTCATGGGCTGCCCTGGCATCACCTACCTTTGTTGCCATCATTCCAACTGCCTAGAATTCCATTCTGCCAGCTCCTGTCTCTCTGGTGCAGCCTCTGTGCACAGAGGGAGTCAGAGGTTGCATGTGATGGTGGGCATTGGGGGTGCTGCTTCTGCTCTCACTGGATTTTTATTTCCCGGGTGAAGCTGAGCAAATCGGCACGCTGCTAATGAGCTCCCCAGGATGGGGTGGGGGAGGTGTGTGTATGCTGCTGGAAAGATGGAGTGTGAGTGTTTGCCATCCTGTGTTTGGGCAGGGAGCACATGGGGATGCTGGCTTAGTGATAGAGAACAGGTCCAGCCTGTCATTGGCATCTCCTCAGCTCTTGACTGCTTGTCTTCAGTTTGCTTCATCTTTAGGGAGTGCCTTGCCAGCTCTTTATGTTTAAAGATGTTTGTTTTGAAGGCAGGAAGATGATTTAACAACTAAAACACTTTCAGATTATAGAAAGAAAATGAGGAAAATGAGGCTTTTGGCTTAAGCCTCTACTCTCAGTGCTCCACCCAAAGTGAAGTGCCTGGTGCTCACAGCTACTGCTGGATCCCCATCATCTTTCATGCCCTTGCTGAGGTTCGGGGGCCAAGTTTTAGATCAGAGCCTTCCTTATGCTAAAAACAAACCTTGGCTTGTCAGAGCTAACATGTCCTGGCTGCTGAGCGTGTTTGAGCCACTTCCTGTGGGAAGGGGCTGCCAGCAGTGCTGTGTGGATGCTCCCACCTGGCTGTGTGTGAGGGATGTGGGGCTCTGCCATGCTCCCTGTCATGGTTTGATTCCTGGCAGAGAAGAAACAGGCACTCCTGCTCCTTGTGTTGGGGCTGTATGGCTGCAGAGGGGAGCAGGGAGGCCAAACCCTGTGTCCTGCTGTGATGTCCCTAGGGTTTATCAAATCAAGATGGTGGCTGCTGTGTGAGCTGGAGCTCTCCTGGCTGTGCCAAGGCCTCTGCTCCCAGGACAAGCAGCCTCTCCTTCAGTTTCTGTGCTGTCATGCCAAAGGTAGCTTGCATCAGAGAAACTGCTTTTCCTGGTCAGCATTTTGGTCTCCAGAGCCAAGCTGTTCTGTGCTGTTCCCAGCTGGCCCTTGGGCTTTCAATGGTGAGCCTTCTTCGAGTCAGATGAGACCCCCAAAGTGCATCCAGTATCCTGTGTAACTCCATCCTGTTCTTTCATCCCCCAGATCTAACCTTCAGACCTAATCTCAGCAAAAGATTGTTGAGGATGGGGAGGTGCAGCCAAATCCTTCTGTTGTGCAGATTTCCATTTCCATAGCAGTAGCCATGGATACAGACTGTTTGTGCAAATAACCAATATTCCCACCCACACCAACTGCTGACCAGTGCAGCCCAGGGCTGAGTGTCCCTGGTAGTCTTTGGCTTTACCTGCTGCTGGAAGCTTTTTGCTTTCCCAGATGCTCTCTAGGGCTTTGCTCAAACAAAACCCAACTTTGTCAAATGGGTGGAGTGATTTAACTGCTTTCAAAAACACTTGAGTTTGGCTGTGGGACTTTAACTGTGGCAAAGGTGAGTGGTATCCTCCAGCTTCTCTCTTATAGTGCTTGAGGATAAAAAAAAATCAATTTCTAGAGCAAAATTATGCTCTGGTGGTACATTCAGGCTCTGCCAATCACCTGGGGGCTCTCTGGAGGAGACTTGGGGTCTGACTGTGGGGTTTGCATTCCTGGCATCAGCTAATGGGGATGGGTCTGTTGCCAATGCTCCCTGGGGCATCCTGGCATCCCTGGGGAGTACCAGTGGCAGACCTGGCCCCATTAACTGATACGATGCTGTCATGTTCTTCACATGTCTGATTGATGTGCAAGAGAGTCCTTCCTTAGGCAGGAGTTTTATAAAGTCTGAGGTGCTCTGAGCTTGAAGAGTTCAGTTTGATGTCTGGTAAAGGTAGAAGCTGTTTGGTGTGTAATACTGAGTAGTAGGAGTACTTATAGTCACAAGTGTGGCTGAAATTACACTCAGCAAACATTGTTTGCAGCTTGGACCTCCAGTTTCCTCTCATTAAAAACTTGTTGACACTTAATAAAAGCTGGATGAAGTGGCAGAGTTTCCCCAGCACAAATACAATCCTTAAATGTACAAAATTGGTTGGGGAAGACCCAGTGGGCCATAGGGCTTGGACACTGGTGTGACGACTCTTGGCAAGACTGTGCTGGCACGGTGTTAAGGGCTGTGATTTACTCCCTGTGTGCAGTTCCAGTAAAGTATATGGAATGAACAGCCAGCCTTTGCCTCCTGCAGCAGAGCTCAGGTGGAAGAGGAGGCATTCATAAAAGTGTTTTTTTTATTTTTTTTTTCCTGTGGACTCACTGTTAATTGTGCTTTTAGCCTCTGCTGCTTTGGCTGTCAGAGCCTGGGGAGAATAGCCTGATGGTAGGACTAAAGAAGATGTGTTCTCTGCACTTTGCTGGGAGGAAGTCCCTGAGCTGGCTCTCAGCAGTGGGTTTGGATGAACGTGGTGCTGGTGTGTCGTGCTCAACAGGATCCCAAAGTGCTTGAAGCAACAGCAGTGCCACCATCACTGCTGGTGCCCTGCATTGCCATAGGTCCCGGTCACATTCCCCAAATTTTTGCTATCCACATAAACCAGACCTGTTCCTCAGCCATCCTGGGGTTAGTATGTTTGAAATGTGTCTAAAAAACCCACTCTTTTATCCCTTTTGGTCAGGTGAGAGGATCCTGGGCTATGCAGAGGAACCTTGCTACCTGTGGTTTGTCATGGAGTTCTGTGAAGGGGGAGACCTCAACCAGTACGTGCTGTCCCGAAGGCCCGACCCAGCCACCAACAAGAGCTTCATGCTGCAGCTGACCAGTGCCATTGCCTTCCTGCACAAGAACCACATTGTCCACCGGGACCTGAAGCCAGACAACATCCTGATAACTGAGAAATCTGGCACCCCTGTGCTCAAGGTGGCAGACTTTGGGCTGAGCAAGGTCTGTGCTGGCCTGACTGCTCGGGGCAAGGAGGGTGCGCATGAGAACAAAAATGTGAATGTGAACAAGTACTGGCTGTCCTCAGCCTGTGGCTCTGACTTCTACATGGCACCCGAGGTGTGGGAGGGGCACTACACTGCCAAGGCTGACATCTTCGCCCTCGGCATCATCATCTGGGCCATGATTGAGAGGATCACTTTCATTGATGCCGAGACCAAGAAGGAGCTGCTGGGGACTTACATCAAGCAGGGGACCGAGATTGTGCCCGTTGGGGAAGCGCTGCTAGAAAACCCAAAGATGGAGCTGCACATCCCTCAGAAACGCAGGACTTCCATGTCTGAGGGGATCAAGCAGCTCCTGAAAGACATGTTGGCTGCTAACCCGCAGGATCGACCTGATGCCTTTGAGCTTGAAACCAGAATGGACCAGGTTACATGTGCTGCTTAAATTCAGGGCAGGGCACCGCTGTGCTTTGCAGCTGGGTAAGTGATTCGCACTTTTTGTCTTATTTCTGTCACCTTTACTGGTCCAATGGTGCACTTTGTAGTGGCACAAAGGAGTCTTTTATGTTCCTAGAGCTATTTCTGTAGTGACTCATCAGAGCACTGCTTCTGAGGTTGTTTTCACCTATTCTACTGCAAAAATAAAGTAGATGTGAGAAATAGAATTAGCAGCTGCACATGCTGTCACTGCCCCAGGGTCCAGTGGAGCTGGAAGGGCTGGGCAGGAGCCTTGTTCCTCAGAGGTGCTGGCCAGTGTCTGAGACAGGCTGGGGCACAGTGGAGACACCTGCAAGCGCTTGGTTTAAGCTTTGGGGACATCTGTCTCTCTCAGGGTCAGGGAGGAATCTGCCAGTTCTGCCTCCTTTGCTGTGTGATGTAATTTCCATGGTCTGTGCTGGAACTCCTTGTCTAGTACCATCCCCTTCCCTGGTGACATTTGGACAGGACACCTCAGGGCCCATCTGGCTCAGTGGGTAGGCACCAAGTAGCACATCTGTCTTGGCACAAAACTCTTTGCTTTCACCTACAAGGCACATGGGTCCATCTTGTGGCTCTGTTTCATTTCCCTATTAAAGGCAGGACTTCCCTTTGGTGTGAATGTCAGTGGCCCAAACCCAGGAGATACTTTGGTCTCCAGCATGTGTGTTTGTAGACCTGTGTCTACTCAGGAAGGAAGCTTAAAAACAGCTCTGCTCAGACTGAGCTCAGCTCTGTCCAAACAGAGTCCCCTCCCTTTTCCCCGCCCCGCTAAACAGTCTCAAGCTCAGAGGTCCTGATCCTGAGGCCTGGGTGGTCACACATGGTCTGGAAGGACCCCCAGGGATGTGATGCAGCTGACAGTGTAACTCCCAGTGACACAGCAGGACTGGGAGGTGTTGCCTAAATGGCAAAGCTGTCTGTAAACAGGAGCTGTTACTAGGGATTCTCCCAGCCAAACATTTCAATGAAACTGAAGAATTACATATTACCAGGGGTGAGGCTGACGTCTTTCCAGCCCACATCCTTTCTCAGGCTCCTGCAGAGCTGCCTGCCCATCACTGGTCCCAGGAGATCTTTGACAGCCTGCCTGTGTCAGGTGTTGCCATCAAAGCTTGGGCCACAGCCCTCAGCTCACCCCAAAACCACACACAGCCAGCTGGACTGGAGCTGATCATGGATGCAAGGGGGCAAAGAGGGAGGAAAACGTGTCCCTGGCCAGCACTCACCAGTCCTCAGCTGATGGCTGTTTGCTTGTCCAGTGCTGAGAACAAGCCTCCAGCAGCAGGTGGTGGGGAAGGTGCAGGTATTTTGGTGAGTTTTGCTAAAACCCCTCATTGCTGCCACCTGAGGGTTTCTGAGCTTATGGAAAACGCTGTGGTGCCTGACCCCCCTCTCTCTGTGTGCCCAGGTACACTCTGTGCTGTATGTAGAGAAATAGGATGGAAGTGAAAAGAGCCATTGGCTGGGTCTTGTTCTTCTCTGTTGGTTTGTCTACACTGGTCCACAGACCATCCCCTCTGCACTTTTCCATGCACAAAATATTTAACACCTATCTTAACTGGTTCAAGCACTGCTGCCTAGGGCTGGATACTGGTCCCAGTGCAAGTGTGGGCTGGGGATTAGGGTGGGGGAGTGAATCTGTGGAAATGCGAGCCCTTAAGATGGGTGTGCTCCAGCCCTGGGGCAAGAGCAGACACCCTGCCTTGTGCCCCGGGGCGAGGCGTGGGGCAGTGGGAGCAGCTCTGCCGCACGAGGAGGGTCAGGCAGGGCTCTGCCATCTGCGCTGGCTCTGTGCTGACACGATGCTGCTGCATTATGCAACCAGCCCCTGCCCTCGGGGGAAAATTCATCCTGCGCAGATCTGCGGAATAGTACATGAAGGGATAACAAACACCGAGGGGACAGTCCTACCCCGCGGCTGTTTGCTCAAACCCAGCTGCCTTCTGCAGCCCCCCCCCAGCACACACACACACTCCATCCGTGAGTCTGCACCGATCACTCCGTCGTGACACAGCTGCAGCAGCCAGGGATGCTCTTACATAACCCAGCCTGGCACATGGAGCGTGGTCGCTTGGCCCAGATAGAGCCCAGCACCAGCCATATGTTCTCTGCAAACCCACAGTGTTCCTCCACCTCACTTGTGGGGCAGACAGAATATTTGGTGTGCTCTACCGTACGGTTTTCCTGGTGTAGTTGTGCATTCAAAATTCAAATCTCAATCAGCCTTCTTCTGGCTGCTATTAAATGCAAATCTTAAATTGGAAACCTGCTTGAGAAGCTTAAAATGGGATTTAGAGCAGAGCCTGAATTCTGCTCTCAGGTAATTTTAGTTGACCGAGAAACTCACGTAACCTCTTCCAACTTATTTGTGGCACTGGCGTGTAGCTTTGCTATGCTGGGTTATGCAGCAGGTTCTTCCCCAGGATGGCTCATGAACCCTGCTCAGCCTTGGTTCATGTCATAACCTGGAAAACTCTAACCCTCCCTGAGCCAGGGAGTTGGATTTTTGCTTATTCTTTGCTATGCCACTGACCTCTTCAGATTTCGCTTCATGTCTCAGTAGCTTTGCCTTTTCTTCTGTCATGGATGCTGCACACACCTGAGAGCTTCATGCTCTGTTACTCTTCCAAAATGCAGATAGCAAATGTCAGTCTCAGACAGGAAAGTGTTTTTGGCTTGGTTTATGCTGGACACTGGGCTGCCTGAGGTGGAGATGACTCCTTGACTTCTTATCTCCTTGCTCTTCCCACTGCTGGTGGTCTGGTGGCAATAGTTCCAGCAGAGATGGGCAGAGGGGAAAACAAAGGTGTTCTCTCTTTAATTTGAACATTTCTTCCCTACCTTCTGCAAATGTTTAGATATAGCTAAGTTTATCTACAGTTCTCTAGAGTTGCTGGCAAAAGCTGCCTTTTGGGCAAAGAGGACAAAAGCCTTTCTAGTGCAATTAGGGAGTGGCTGGGCTGTGCTGGGTATCTGCTGGGTCTCTGTGTGATAGCCCAGCACTGACTGCACTACCCACTAAGGGAGTATTTCACCCCTCCTTCACACTAATGGAAAGCTGGAATGACTCTCCTTTCCTGCAATGTGACATCTTTCTTTCTGTGTCGACTTTGTAGTTGCCCTCCAGGTTCCCTGGGGATGGTGAGGGTCCTCCTGGAGATGCTGCTCCTCTGATGGACTGGGTTTGTGCAACCCTTAGGTTGCAGAGGAAAAAGGTGCAGTGGCAGTGTCTCCCTTTGCTGCTCACTGCAGTGACACAGGGGCCTTGGCCACAGAAACACAAGGGACAAGTATATAGCATCACCCACCACAGTTAAGTGTTTAAGAAACTTTGTAGTTTTGATTCACACAGGACATCAAACTCCAATTGCTGTGATCAGTGTAGAGGCAGTTTGTTCTGGTAGATTGTATTCCATATTTTCACTTGTGGGTAAAATGCTCTGATTTTGGGTGGATGCTCAAGATGAATGGCAAGAATCCGTGCAGGCTGCAGCATCTCGGGGGCTGTCATGAGCAGGCGGGTGTTCAATAGCTGTGGCCAGTCTGGTTCTCTCCAGCTCTCCTCTGTCACTGGGTTTGATTATTCCAGTTTCAGCTGAAAGTGGCTGTTTGTATTTCCATTGTTCTGCTCTTTGCATTTCCAACGTGCACCAGGAGCTGAACAAGCTGAACAAGCTCATCTGCTCACCCTGCATGATGGTGTCTATCCTGGCCAGAGCTCTCTGGTGCTGTGCCCAACCACTCCCAGCACTGCTGATAAACTGCTGCCCTGTGGAATTTCAGAGCTGGAGGATGGACAGGGATCAGGGACACAGCAGCAGCTCCGAGAGCTGTCAGTGAACAGGGGCTGCTGCATCAAATTAGATGTTGTCTGTTAGTATCACTCAGCTGAAGTTTTACTCACTGGCCAGTTAAAGGACAGCAATTTAATTCCTGAAACAAAGTTGGTTTTGACTTTGGACAGTTTTCAGTGTGGTTTGTGGATCTTGGCATGGACAAAAGCCACAGGACAGTAAAAGCAAGGTCAGTTCCTCTTCTCATAACTGTAGAATGCAGCATCACAGGGTCCATCCCATAGAGTGGTGACACCCTTCTGTTGATTCTACCTGGGGTGAAATGAAGCCCTGAGAGTGACCTGGACCATGTCACCTCTGGCCAATTGTATTGGTGTTTGTGTTTGCTCAGTGTCACCCCTGCTTTGCCTTCTGGGGAGGTCACTGCAGTTGGATGTAAGGATGCACACAAGGAATGCATCACAAGTATAGGTACAGAGCATGAGGGAAGGCTCAGGAGATAAATCAGGCACTCAGCCCCCTTCCCTTGCACTCTGTGTTCCCACACAGGGGCAGATGACATGGTTAACACGAGGAGGTGAGGGGTTATCTCTCCCTCCTCTGCAGAGTCCTCTCTGCCGCCGCCCCTCTGTGTGACCGACACGCTGGTGTCATCTTGCGTGCTGGGTGCGAGGTCCATGGGCTGCTGGTTCACATCCTGCTGATGCCGAATGAACATTCGAGCTGATTAAAACTATAAGTGGCATCAGTGGAGGGATTAAATGCTCTTGAACAAGCCCCTGCAAAAACGTGCGTCAGTGGGGTGAGCTCTCCTGCCTCAGAGCAGTGAGCTCAGGGCTACTCGAGCAAGCGCCTTCCCTGAAAATGTTCCTACTCCAGGGAAGCACAAACAGAAACCCTGCCCTACTTGCTAATGAAGCTGCATAATAGGAGAAATCTTCCAGAAGAATCCTTGTGTGTTTGCCATGACCTGATGTCTGTGTGCCTCTTGCCTCCTCAAACAGAAAGGCTTTATTCTGATGGCAGCCTGCAAAAGTGGCTTCCATTGGTTAGCCTCTCCTGGAAAGGAGTGTGCCCACGACCCTGCCTTCTGCTCTGAGCAGCCTTGTCCTTTAGAAATGTGTTCCTCAGACAGGGATTTCTTTAATGAGATTTCCTAGGGCCAAGGGATTGGAGTAATTTCCCAGGCAATGGCATTTTTTGTGCAGCGGGTCTTTCCCACTGCTCCCTTGGTGTGTCTCTGCAGAGCCCCTTGCTTATCCCTGGTGGGGTGGGACCTGCCCCTGCTGAATGGGGAGCTAAATCCACCCCCCACATTTTTTTCCCATGTAACTGAGTATAGAGATCATGGACCACCCCCTCTGCTTCCCAGCAGAACCACTGCCCTCAGCTCTGCTGGTGTCTCCTTGAGTTTGGAACATCCTAAAGGATGTATTTTCAGTACAGAAGTGACATCATGTGTACGTGTGTGCTGTTCTTCTGCTGTTCACAGGGAATGTTCTGGGTTGCAAACAAATTGTGTGGAAGATGCTGGTGGCTTATGTGCAGAGTTGAACATTCCCATGTCCCTGAGCTCAGAGGACAGGAGGGTGCCAGGGCTGTGGATGAATGGGTGCAGCACCTCTGCTGCTGCAGGGACTATGGGGGTTGTGGTGTGTTGAGGCTTTGGCTAAAGCAGGGATTGGTGCAGCAAATACCTGCCTGTTCTGCTCTAAAACCCCTGTCACTGAGCATTGTTGTGGGCTGAGCTGCAAACCTCTCCTGTTCTGCTTCCATTTGCACCAGCCTGGATTTTACCTTCTGCAGAGCCACTCGCAATGTCTGAGCTGCTGCTGACGCAGGGGGTGAGTGGAGCAGGGCATCTCTGGGGTTGCAGCTTGTTCCATCTTTCCTGATGGAGTACGGAGAGCCAGCACTCATTGACGTGTCACATGTACTCTCAAGGCCAGGCTCTGCTGTGGGAACACTTATCCTTGTTCCAGCAGGAGCTGTGTGGGATGGGGCTGTGTTGTGGAGGTGTGGGGAGATGCTCAGCCCCAGCCAGCCTGTCCCAGCTCAGCCCCTGCCCTGGGGCAGCTGGACATGTGCTGTCCTTGGCAGTGTGCTCCATATGCTGCTGTCTGAATCCCTCTGGGGAAAAAACTGACTGTAAACTGAGCCCAATTCCTATCTGGATCAATAGCAAAAGCACTGGGCAGTAGAGAGATGTGGCAGCACTCGTTTTGGACTAACTGGGATAAGTGGGCAGGTGGCAGGAGTGGTGTCCTACACCCCTTCCATCCAGCAGCCAATTCCTGGAGTCACAATGTAGTAACTGAGACAAATCACTGACAAGCCTGACCTCTCTTTCTCCTCTTTTTTCTTGCAGATTTATTTACCAGGGACCCATAATCTCCATTATTTACGTGCAACAAGGAAGTCAAAGATAAGGGAAGATGATGATACAGAAGATCCCTGGTCTGCAGGATCTCTGGCAATGTGAAATATTTGGGTGTTACTTTTTGTGTTGGGAAGGGGTGTTGTGGGGGTGTGGGAGGGGGCTTCAGGGGCCTGTGGAAAAACACAAGCTGGCAGCTGTCACACTCATGAGACTTTGAAACAAGATCCAGAGAGCAGAGCTGCCTTTGCCCAGCCCTCCCTATGTCTCCTGTGCTGCTGTTTGACTCAGTAGATGTTTCTAAGAATGTGGTTTCATAAAGAAGTGGGAACCAGCAGCCTGGTAGTGAGGTGTGCTGCCAGGCACCAGCTCCAAGTCTGGCTGGTCACAGTTTTGGGTTCAAAGCTATTGATTTTGCCTAGGGAAAATGGGAGCAAAGTGGTGGCAAGGTTTGCATTGGGAGTGCAGTGCTTTAGGAAAAATAAATCTCTTGGACCACATCTTGCAAACAGCTAAATAACTTCATAACAGGCAGCTCCTGAATAGGTGGTGCTGCCCAGGCTTGTGAGCAGCTGACATTAGGATAGAGTAGGATAAACAAGCTGGAAAGCCATTTGTCAAAGCAGGTCTTCCCAAGCTGGATTTTATGATCATCTTTGTTACTGTCTTTCTACATAGAGGGAACTGGGGAGCTGCTGAGTACATTTTCAGGTTGATATCATCCAAGAGAAACAGAAAGCAGTCCACTGCTCTGATCCATTTAATGCCAAACTTCAGTCGATAGGAACAATGCTGTGGAGAGAAGGAGGTTTGGCCTTAATGGGTCATGGGCTGGATTCTAGCCTCCCACAGGACACTTTTTTCCTGCTAGCTAATGATCTCCAGGAAGCAAAAGGCAATGCTGCAGTTCAGGGTGTGTTACAGTACAGCTCAGGTCAGGAGATTGGAACCTCAGGCTGAGCAGTTAATACTCATAGCAAAACTCCTATTCTCGGGCTGCCCTGTGTTGATGATCTTTAGACTTTGCTCACTGTAAATGCAATGTAAAGCACCACCTCTTCTCCACCCTGCAGCTTCTGAACCACCTAAATTGTTTCTCAGCAGGTGAAATCACCCAGCAGTGGTTTGAGAAGTGGGCTGGTCTGACCCAGCATCACTCCTGAGCAGTCTGGAGCTGGCCATGGGTAGGAAAGGGTCAGCCTGGCCCCTTCATCCCTGGCTGTGGGAACTGCTGGCCTACAGCTTTCCTCTGACATCACTGGAAGGTTCCTAACTGAAAGCACCTCCCTGTATCTCCTCAGTGTACTATGCTGACCTCACAGGAGTGAATGGCAAAGGAGGAAATTCAGGTGGGCTCAGGCAGAGCAGGGAAAGGATGGAGAGGCTTCTTTCTTCTCTTCCATCTATTCCAGGACACAAAGCTAGAGCTGTGGCTGCAGGAAGGCCTGGTCCTTCTTAGGAGGACCAGGAGGCTCTAGACTGGTTGTCTGTGACTTGTGAAGGTTTGGACAGCACAAATGCACTGCCAAGCCCTTGTTCTCACACCGTGCTTGTGTTTGTCCCTAGGGATGCTTCTGTGGGCTGTCACTGGGTGGGATTCCTCCAGCTTCCTGTGCTGCATCCCACAGGAAGGGGAGAGTGAACCATTTAGCTCACAAGTGCAGTGTTAGTGCCCTGATCACTGGACCATCCTTCCTCCACCTGGCAGAGCCTTTGCTCCTGACTGTTACAGCTGTTCTAACCAAACCCTGGCCTGAATGGGTGCAGTAAGAGGGCAGGAGGTGAAGCTGGAAGGCAGTGAGTGGATTGCCCTGTTCTTCTCAGGACAGGAGTGAGTCCAGCAGGCCCTGGGAGGGTCAGCCCTCTTGGTCCACTGCTATTTCAGGCCATCTTCAAACCACACGTCTCCACCTCAGCTTTTGCATTGCAGATGTGTTTTTCAAGCAGCTTGATGTTAGTGAGCTAGACCGTAGTGCCTTACTTAGGATTTAGCAAACACTTCCAAGGAGGGGTCCTAGGGCTGCTAGCCTTTGGCCAACATGGATGTTTCCCTGATTAGTTTGTCCTTTTAAGATCATTTCTCTCTGATTTTGCTGCTGTTTGTGCTCAACTCCCCAGACTATACAGGAACCTTGTGTTTACAGCTCCCTACATCTCTCCTTCAGTTACCTTGGCCCAGACCAGCACTTCCTCTAGAACAAGGTGGCAACAGAGAACAGCACAAACCTGCATATGCTGTGGGATGGAGAATGTTTAAGCTTCTCTTCCCAGGTGGGTCTATTGGGGCTCACCAGCCCAGCTCCTGCAGGCCAAACTTCTTCCTCTGCTGTGGATGTTTGGCACTAAGGTGCACCGCTGGGAAAATCCAAGTTGAAGAAAGCAGCATCGAGCCTGTGGCCCATTTCCCAGCCCAGGGCCATGCTGTCTGTCTCTTCCTGGATGCAGTGAAGCTGAGCATCCAGGTGCTGGGGGTAGCTGGTTAGTCTGGGGGGAGCTAAGCCCCCCTTGCAGAACTCTCTGGGCTCGTGTGGCCCTAGATGGTGTCCACACCAGGAGAGTGATTGTATGAAACTGTTTACTTCTGATTTTGCTGTTTACAAGAGGGATGTGGGGTGGGTGGGGGGAATAAGCCAAGCCTCAGGAGGATTGGGCAACGTGTTATCTGCACCAGCCTGCAGCAAGGCCAACACCACCGGCATCATGCAGGTGTCACGGGGATCTCCCAGCCAGCTTTGGTCCATTGGGAGGAAAGCAGTGGTGGCTCTAGCCTAGAGGGGTTAGATTAGCTCCCCTATATCCCCTTGCTGCTGTGTTTGAGGTTCAGCAGTGCTAGTGACAGATAAGAGTTACCCCTGTGGTCTTCCTTTACTCCTCAGGACCCAGCTCCTTCACATATCACAGGCTCACAGAGCCTTTCTGGAGCAATAAGATGTAAAACAAGCATTACCATCGTGGAAATCCTCCGTTGTGTGCAGTGTCAGTTTCCTCCGTATGCAGTACGAGTCTGGGTTTAAGCCTGCCAAGTGTCACAGGGTATCTGCTGCAGGACACAAACTGGGATTTGTTTCCCTGGGCTTTCTGCAGGTCAGGAGAACAGGGAAACGTGCTGCTGCTTTCCTTCCTTACCCCAGACCTGTGCTGCCCAAGCCTCACACTACAGCTGCCCGGAGCAAGGGTACTCCTGGTCCCCTTTTTGGCAGTGCTGGCATGAGAGGGGTGAGTGGAGCTCAGCACCATGCTCCACTCCTCACAGCCCCATCCCATCAGCCAGGGCAGCACTGGGAAAGCAGAGCTCCCATTTCCTTTGCATCAGGATGCAGCCAATGCTTGGGATGCAGTACTTCTCTTCCCAATGCATACTGGCATGGGAAGAGTTGTGCTGGTGGCTCCTGTGCTCCCCAGCTGCTTACAGGCACATCCAGCATGTGGGTCCTTTAAGTCCAGAAGCATTTCACACTTCAGGGCAGGGTGTCTGGGGTGGTGGATGTAGCTGGAAGGGAAGTGCAGGGAGCTGCTCTCTTCCAGCTGTGATCTGCCAGATCATTTCTCTGCAGCCTGCCCAAGTGCTTTTAGCCCTGAGGGTGTGTCTAGGCTGCTGGAAGAGCTCACAGGGGCCACACAGAAGTGCCTGGTGTACCCAGGCCAGCATGGGTCTTCAACTCATCCAGCAGACAACAGCATCTTTGCAGGATGAGCTGCTTCACTACCACACCAGCAGGGTTCTGGGTGAGCCCCAGGATGGGGGCACCCTGCCCCAGCCCTGCTGAGGGCTCTCCCTGCTGCCCACAGCTCCTGTGATGAGCTAGCAAGAGCAGAAGGCTTAAACCCAGACTCTAAACTAATTTTTGCACAGAAGCTGGTAATCTAGGACCTATGTGTGAACAACTTTATATAAATATTTTTTGTACTTGGTTTACTTGGGTTGGTATGAAACGTTCTATTTAAGTTCTTTGAACACTGTGGATCCCCTGATGTGTATGAATGCAGAGGCTTTGTAAATTAAGGGACGTTTGTGTGAATAAAGCTATTTGATGGGGTTGAAAAGCCACACACAACTTGAAATGTGAGCTCTGTGTGTTTGTCCTTTGCTGGCAGCAGTGGGCAGACCAAGGCCCTAAAGCAGCTCTGGCTCCATCCTGGAGGGCAGGATCACCTAAACCCAGCTGGACCTGGGCTAGCTGGCCTGACCTCAGGGCTTAGGGTGCTAAACCAAGGCACCCTGGCCAGTGCCAACCAGAACGTGGCTCCCTGGTATGTGGCACTTGTGGCCCTTTATCTTTGCCGTGGATTAGGATTAGCCCTGCTCTTGATGCAGACACCAAGTAGGACATTGTGATTAGCAGGACCAGCAAGCTTGGCCTCTGCCTGCACAGAAACACCTCCCCATCCTGCTCTTTCCTCCCCATGTGGCCACAAACTGCCAACCCTATGGTTCAGGAGCCAGAAAGGATGAGCAGCCCCTCACCCAGCTGCCTGCCCACTCTGGAGGTGCCTGCAAACCCCACAAGGAAAATGCCCAGCACAACTACCCCTTGAGTAGCCACAGTTCCTCCCTTTGCACAGATCCTCTGCCCCAAATCCCAGATGACCAAGCTGCTCACAGCAGCTGGGAGCCTCCAGTGCCACAACTGCCATCCACGATGCGAAAAGCATCACGAGGCTGAGCCGCATCCTGCAGCCACGAGAAGCTTTCCTATATATGTGATGTTCCACAGGTGCCCAGCAGCCTGGGGCCACCCCGAGCCGGCGTGGGACACAGGATGTCCAGGCATCCAGGGGCCGTGCTCTGCTGCTCGCCAGCCCTTGCGTAACGGCCCTGCAGCCTCGCACGACCCGCGGCAGCCGCAGCGCCCGCACCGGGACG